GAACTTCACTGATTTTTGCCAGCGACTGCAGATGACTATCAATAGAATAGGCCTATCTTGGATTTTTCTTACCACATGAAAAAGTGACAAGTTATCTGTTTATGTGGGGTTGCAGCTAGGGGAAAAGGATTTTTTTTTTTTTTAACACAAGAATTGTCACAGAAAAGGAACACAGGATTACTTTGCAGAAAATCCCACAGAGAAGGTGCTAGGACACAGCAGAAGCAGTGTCTGCCTGGGATACGCCTTTCCTACATTATGGTGCTTGGGTGCAGGCCCAGTTCTGCTCCAGTTCTGATCCAGCTTCCTGCTGATGTGCCTGGGTGGCAGCAGAGGATGACCCAGGTAGTTGGGGTCCTGGCATCCGTGAGGTAGACCTGGGTGGAGTTCCTTGCTCTCCTGATGTTGGTCCAGCACCAACCTAGCTGTTGCAGAGATTTGGGAAGTAAACCAGAAGATGGAAAAATCTGTCTGTCCTCTGTAGGTTTCACTCTCCTTGCCTTTCACATAATTACAAATGTATGTTGCTCTGCTTAAATGTATTTTTATGCCAATTTGCCTGTGGCAAAACAAACAAACAAGCCAGCACTAGAATATAACAAATGGAATAAAAATATGGAAAACCTGTGGGAAATGTTTAGTCATAAATTTAGGACAGAATGAATTGCTTCAAATTTATCTGTCTGCTAGAGTCCCTGGTGGCCACAGCTTACGCATATACTCATGAGCGAACCATGGAAATGTTTAATGAAGATCACTTCCCTTTTTCTTGTCCTTTTCTCCCAGTTTTTAGCATTTTCACTCTTGCCTCAACTGTCCATAACGTCCTGACGTTTTAGAACCTAAATAGCTGTGCTCGCTTCGGCAGCACATATACTAGAACCTAAAATGCAATTGAACCTTCGCAGTTGAAATAGGTTAACATAAAAGAGAAAAAATTACTGCACCTGAAAACATAAGGTTGTCAATAGAATATATTTCTTAAGGAATCAGAGTTCAGGATGTGAGAAACTTGCTTTTCTGAGATCCTGGCTGGCCTCTACTCAGCATTTTCCCCTTTCTTTTCTTGCTGTCTCATCACCATCCTCCTCCCTTCTTTTGGTGTTCTCTTAAGTTACTGTCATTCAACTGACAACTTTAACAAAATCTCTAAGTATTTACTGAGTGCCTAGGGTTCACTTGTTCTTTCTAATACACATGTATGGCGTGCCTACTGCATGCCCCGTACTCCTAGGAGAGGGGCAAGACTCACAGACAGATGGCAGTCCAAAACAGAGAGGCAAAGGGAAAGAGAAGGAAGAGCACACGCTTAGAGCCTTGGAGGGGAGATGAGCATCTAGTCCGAGGCAGACGGAGCTCAGAATGACCGCAGCATAGAGTGTGGAGCGGTGGGGAGGAAAAGGGAACTGTGGGCCCTTAGAATAGGACTGTGCTATTTTTTCAGGAAGTACTCTTTTCCTTTAAAAATTCCAATCCCAACTCAACTTAGTGTCATATTTTAAATGTGGAAGTCGGCGCTTTCTATTGCATGTAATTGAAACCCAGCTCAAACTGCCTTAAGCAAAGTAAAGGTTTGAGTGGTTTATGGAATAGAAGAGATAATGGGACTTCAGGAAAACTGAAATCCCAATACTCTAACAATGTGAGCAAGGCCTACTTCATATCTAACTCGTCGTCCCCTCAGGGATGAATTCCAAAGGAAACAGGGTGTGGAAAAGGCAGGTGCACCACCGTTAAGGTCACCACGTTGGAGGAGCTCATTGCCTTCTACTTTTCCATCTGTACTTCAGTGAGTTCAGAATGGTCAAAAAGCCAGGTTGGCTCTTCCTTTGTCTTCTTAACAGACTTAAAGAAGCCAATTATAATTATGCTGAAATACATGTAAGACACAGTCAATTTTGGACACAAGTCTAGTTTCTTGACAATCAGTCTGCCAGTGTGGGTTTTCTTCCTTGACTAGAAAGTGTTGGGCAAACTCTTATTGAAACACACATCCTTGAAACAGTGTGCATCCATGAGTCACATAAAAATACAACAATAAAGATGTATTGACTTATTCGTGCTATTTTCTCCATTAACGTATGTTCAATACCAATCCCCAGATTTGGTCATTTGTATATTGAATCCCAGCATTCAAGGCGAGGACTACAGCAGCTAGGCCACTGCGCCAGGTCCATTTTTATATTTTTCAATTCCTAAAATGTATCTAAAAATAAGTGGATGATGGTCAAATCATATTATTGTGGGAGATGACTACCATATTTTGCATGCATAGTTAGAAAATGGCATGACCTTGAACTTGAGCAAAGATTGTGACCATGGGGCTCAGTGCAGTGGTCTAATGGCTAAAGTCCTCACCTTGAACACACCAGGATCCCATATGGGCCCAGGATCTAATCCCAGTGGTCTTGCTTCCCATCCAGCTCCCTACTTGTGGCCTGGGAAAGCAGTCAAAGACCACCCAAAGCCTTAGGACCCTGCACCCACGTGGAAGATCTGGAGGGCGTTGCTAGCTCCTGACTTCAGATCAGCTCAGCACCAGCTATTGCAGTCACTTGGGGAGTGAATCATTGGACGGAAGATCTTCCTCTTTCTCTCTCTCCTCTCTGTATATCTGCCTTTCCAATAAAAATAAATAAATCTTTTTTTTTAAAGTGGAAATAGTTATAAATTAGAATCATGAGGAATTGTTACTCACTGGATAGTAGATGAGAAGCAGGAACCCTAAAATAATTTTAGAGTGAAAAATGGCTGATTTTGATAATATCTACTAAGATGTTTGATAAAGGAGGAAAACGAGGGTGTAGAAGGACAAATTTAACAAGTTCTGTTTTGTAAGACCAAATTTGAGTAACTTTTAGAATCCCAGAAAAGTCCAATTAATATCTTAGACACGACACTTGGCTTACAGGCAGCACCCAGTAGTCTCAAATCAGCAAATAAATGACAGCATCATAGAATAAAATGACTGTTCTACTATAAAAATAAGATGTAATATAAAGACAATAATTTTTAAGTCAGCAGAAATTTATTCTGTTATGGTAGGGCATAATCATAATTTATTTAGAAAAATCATTTTCATGGAGTTTTTGTCTATAGTCATACCTCATTTATTTTGTGCATTTATAACTGGTGCATAAGATTTAAATTTTTTTTGTAAAAGCAATGTCTGATTTGTAGGGAAAAATAAATAAAATATGAGGAAAATAAAAATCACCTGTAATTACACATGTAATAACAATTTTGGAATATCTTCCTCCCTTTTTTTCTTTCTTATACATGTAAATTCTTATAATTTCAATAGTTTGTTTTCAGTTTTGTGTCACTTCAATATTTTTACATATTTTCTCATATCTGAATTTTTTTAGAACAGGATTCTAGAGGGCCCTGTGCAATAGCCTAGTTGCTAAATCCTCGCCTTGCATGCTGGGATGCCATTTGGGCACTGGATCTTGTCCTGGCTACTCATCTTCCCACCCAGCTTCCTGCTTATGGCCTGGGAAAGTAGTGGAAGATGGCCCAAAGTCTTGGGACTCTGCACCCACGTGGGAGACCAGAAGAAGCTCCTGGCTTCTGGCTTCAAATTGGCTCTACTCTGGCCAGTGCGGCCGCTTGGGGGAGTGAACCAGTGGATGCAAGATCTTTCTGTGTGTCTCTCCTCTCTGCAAATCTGCCTTTCCAACAAAAATAAATAAATATATCTTAAAAAAAATAGGATCCTAAAAATGTAAATAGCGAGTCAAAGTATATAAACCTTTTAAGAATTCATTTATTTTCACTTTATATGAAAGTTAAAGAGAGATCTTCCATTTATCTACTGGTTCAGTCTCCAAATGCATTGAAGAGCCAGGCTGGGCCAGCTGGAACCTGAAAGCTGGAGGTGGCTCGCCCCCACCCATGGGTGGCAGGACACTTAGCCCTGCCTGCCAGGTGCTCCTGAGGATGATGCTGGAATTGCGAGTAGAATGACTTCAAAGCCAGGTACGCTACTACAGGATATGGATGACCCGAGCTGTATCTAACGGTGCCATATACTTCCCCACAAAATGTGTCTTGCTTTATGATGCCAAATTGTATTTTTTTTGAAGGCTAATTAATGCTTTTTCCCAGCAGGCTACAGGAAGATCTTTTGTTATACTCACCTGAGTAAATTACTAACTGAGAATCACACATTACAAATTTAACCAATAAAACATTATATTGTTGCAAAACAAGTTGAATGAAAGAAGACACATTATAAGAGTATGCAAAGCATTTTATATAAAACACTGGAAATGCAAATTCAAGTGTGATCAACAACAGATCAGTAGTCCCATGGGGACCAGGAGGGGGGCAGTGGGTGGGAGGGCTTTATAAGGAGATCAGAGAAATACAAATCTGACACATCCCCAATATTATTTGTTTCCTGTTTTGAAAAATTAGCAATTTTCTCTTGGATTTCTCTTCGTGTCTTAAAATCTCATCACTCGAGCTCTCCAGATTTTTTCCCTGCAATTTCTTGCTCTGTTACAACGCTTTGGGAAGGGCTCGGTTTGGGGGGACAAGAGGATGAATACAACTCTAAACGACAGCAAATTGTACATCATTGCTTTTCAAACGAAAATCTTCTAAGCCAAACTTACAATAAGAAATGAGTGGCTGTTATAATAACCCAGGCCTTTGGAATTAACATCAAATATATCCGGCACACCTGCTTGGTTTTCGAGCTTTTGAAGTTACTACGCCCTATTCAACACTGGAGTGAAAGCACCCTTTCAACCACACTCCAGGCGCTGTGGCAAAGAAGCACTTGGCTCCCGATGGAGCGCGCAGTCGCCACCGTCCCTGGCTCTCTCCGGCTCCTCCTCTGGCTGCTTACCCAGGAAACCGAACTGCAGAGTGCCACGGATGAGCTCACGCTGGCGTGACGTCAAGAGCCTTGACGTCAGAAGGCGGTTGCCACGGGGACCGTTCGCCACCGACGGCAGAGTCGTGAAACCCCATCACCGCACTCCTCCTCTCCTGGGTTTCGGCCTCTGCAGGGTCTAAGCTGCTACAGAAGCTTTAACCTTAAGGGGGCCTCAGGGAGAGCGCGGAGCCGTGTGAGCTGCCGCCGCCGAGAGCTCCACCTCCGAGGCTCTGGGTCCGGGGGCCCCGGCCTGTGGCGGCGAGCGGCGGCGGCGGCTGAGGAGGGCGGCCGGCCCGGGTCTCCCTCGCTCCGTGCAGGGCCCGGAGAGGGGATCCGCCATATTGGAGCCGGAGCCGAAGGTGCCTTGGAGCGCGGCGGCGCGAGGCGGGTGGAGGAGGCGGCCCCGGCCTCCACCGAGGAGGAGTCGGCTCTGCCGGGGCCCGCGAGGCTGGGGAGTGAATGAGCCGCTCGGGCTAGCCGCTTCCCCGCCCACTCTGTGCACTCGGTGCCGCGGGAGCCGGCCGTGGCGGCGGCAGGATGTTCTCCAAGAAGCCGCACGGGGACGTGAAGAAGTCCACCCAGAAGGTGCTGGACACCAAGAAGGACGCGCTGACCCGCCTCAAGCACCTGCGCATCGTCATCGGTGAGGGGGCGCGGGTGGCGGCGCCGAGGCCTGGCTTGCCCGGCCTTCCCTCCCCGGGCACCCGTGGGGACTCTGCCGCGGGGACCGGGCGCGGAGCGGGCGTGGTGGGCGAAGCGTCGCCTCGCGTCCTGGGCGCGGGAGGGCCGAGTAGTCGGGCAAGGGAAGGCTTGGCCGCTTCCCACTACCCCAGGATATCTAGTTTTGACTTGAGAGGCGAAACTCATGTTTAATTAAAACTGCCCTAAAAACTTGGATGTTAAAGAACTTTGGCTAGACTTCGTGTTGTGGCTTCATGGTGTTGTTGATAGCTTGTGTTTGCCAGGTGACTTTACTGCAGTCTCCACCCAAGTGGAAAGAAAGAAAAACCCCCAAATTGTCTCTCACACCACGTAAACCTTAATTTCTGAAGTTTCTTGGCAGGTGAGGGCGAGGAGGAAGCAGTTACACCTCTTTGGGAAGTGGGTGGTTCCCCAAAGCTTGTGGGGAAGAGCCCCGCCCTCCGAGGCGTCTTGTTCATCCTGGCTGTCATTTAGAGAACTATTATTAGTTGTGGAAAACAAGGTAGTTTATGACTTCCTTTGCTCCTGGGGAGTAGTGTGCTATTCCTTGTGTGTTGGATGAAATCTTGTCTCCTGCCCTCAGCGCTGCGGCCAGAAGGTGCTCTGAGTTGTAGCGATCCTTTGTGGGCGGCTGAAGGTGATTGTACTCCTTAAGGCCCAGCACCTGTGTGTTTTCAGTGGCAACGTTTGAGACGAAAAGGAACATGGGTTTGCTTGTGCTGATTGGGTTAGAACCTACCTGCCTGAGCCTGGCTCAGGGTTCATCTTCTGCAGCTGTCTGATTCTTCGTGAATATTTGTTTTGGAAAGTGATATTCGTGCAGTTTTCCAAGTCCCTTGTGTGCATTACCATTACCGCCAAATATACCAGGCGTTGTTGCGAAGCTTCACTGCTTGCAAGTTGCTTTCGCATAAATGGCCATGCAGAACCTTTGCAATGACTTTAGCAATCTAGGACTCCATGGGTGTTGCTGTGTGTTTCTTTGTTTTTCTAACACACGAGAAAGCTGAAGTTTGGGAATGTTGGGGGGGTCACGCAGCTAGCAGCCCTGTAGCAAGCTGAGTCAGAACTGGAGTCCAGATTTTCTGTTTCCAACTTATTTTCTACTTTCTGCGTTTGTAACACCTGAGTTTCATCACAAATAACCTTTGCCTGTGGGATGCTAATAAGTAAATCCAGCTCTTGGGGAATTTCAAGAAAATATGTGTTCAAGAAAATATGAATTTCTAATTATAGTAGAGATTGTGGTCTTTTTATTCTACTTATGAGTTAAGTCATTGAAGAAGGGATTTGGCTGACAGTGGGACCTAGAAAGTGTGACTGAGGGAGATAGATCACAGATAATGGCACTCCGAAATGGAACACTCAGTGGAACTTGATCTGTAATTTGAGGCAAGATGTAGGTTGGGGAATGGCAGAGCTATAAAGTTGAGTTCAAACAGAGGATTGAGATTTCCTTAGTTAACTGCCATAATTCTTAGAGAATTCATCGATAGTTATAGAATGTTTAAGGACTGCTTTGTATATATCTCTTTGGCATAGAACTTTTGTATGTAGGAGTCGTGGTCTATACTAAGAGGTAACATGTCAGGCATTTTGTTAGGCCTAATTTCCTCAGTTTGAAAGCAACAGCTAAAAAGAAAAAAAGTCTTTGTAGTAATGTGTGGACTGTTTTTTTAATGTAGCATCACGCGTGTGTGTGTGTGTGTGTGTGTGTGTGTGTGTGTGTGTGTGTGTGGTAAACGTTTGAATAAGCCTTCAGCACTTCAAGTGGTGAGAGCACTGCGCTGAGCGTGGAGGAGCTTGGTACTGAGGGAATGCCTTTTAGTGTTTTTTAGGACACCTGTTCAGTAGGAGCGCTGTGCCCTGCCCAACAGGAGACAGTTGGTAAAGTCTGGAGATAGAACCAGGGAGAAAGGCTGCTGGCATCTAGTGGCAGCAAGGATGTTGCTGGCTAGTTGGCAGTGTCTTTCCCAATGATGTTCCAGCTGTAAATGCTAATGACTCTGAGGTTCAGGAGCAGGTGTATGGCATGACAGTTGAGTTGTCACTTAGTGCCTGCATCTGGTATTCCAGTGCCTGCTTCAGTCCTGATGCCTCTGTTTGCCTTCCAGCTGCTTGCTCACGGACGCCCTGGCAAAGGCCAGTGGCTCAAGGGCGTGGGTCCTGGTTTGGATGTTCGCCTCTTAGTTCAGCTTGGCCCAACTCTGCAGGATGGGGACGTTGTGGGATAGAGCTAGCGGATGCAGGATCTCTCTCCTCTCTCCATTGTTTCCCTCTGTGTCTCCTTGAAAATAAACATATTAAAAAAACAAAACAAAACCTGAGACTTAGAAGTCTTTTCAAAACATAAAACATGAAGCTTTGTTACTTTAAATTGAATGAAATATATTTTTAAGTATTAAATTTGAGAGGGAGAAACAGAAATGGACAGAATGCGCCCGTGTCTTCAGTAGTTTGTGTAGACTGAGTCTTCCATGTGGTTGACTTGAACCATCACTGCTGCCTCCCAGGGACCACCTCAGCAGGAAGCTGGAACCCCGTGTGTCACACTGCTAGACCAAACGCTTGCCCGTGTTCTCTATTTTTAAAAGATTGCAGTTATTTTGCTTTTAACTTCTAAGAGAATGAATGGGAGAGAGCAGAATGCAAAAAAGAAAAAAGTGTCTTAGAAGTTTCTCCATCAGGTGTTTTAAGAGCCACTTAATCTATTTTTGGAAGTGTGTATGACTTGGTATTTACAGAAGTCACTGTATTAAAATTTGTGAGAACCTGATCATAATTTAAATATCTATTATAAACACTTCTTTAGTTTGTATTTCTACTGAAGAACAATTCCTATCAAGTTTATACAGTCTCATTCTGAAGTATGATGGTTTAAATCTGTTGACATTGCTATATTTTTTATTTTTGGAAGCTAGAAGTCAGTTTTTTTTTTAAGGAAAAAAAGGCCTTTACTAATTTTTTTTTTTTTAAAGATTTATTTTTATTATTTTTTCATTGGAAAGGCGGATATACAGAGAGGAGAGACAGAGAGGAAGATCTTCCGTCCGATGATTCACTCCCCAAGTGAGCGCAACGGGCCGATACTATGCCGATCCGAAGCCAGGAGCCTCTTCCGGGTCTCCCACGCGGGTGCAGGGTCCCAAAGCCTTGGGCCGTCCTCGACTGCTTTCCCAGGCCACAGGCGGGAGCTGGAAGGGAAGCGGGGCTGCCGGGATTAGAACCGGCGCCCATATGGGATCCCGGGCGTGCAAGGCGAGGACTTTTAACCACTTGCGCCACCGCGCCAGGCCCTACTAATTTCTAAACTATTATACCCTCCCAACATTTTACAACAGGTAATGACAGTAAATTAGCCTATGTAAAATAGCTAACATCAGGCTTACACATAGTGAATATTGACTGAATGTTAGTTTGCTTCTTCTACTTTAAAATGGCAAGCTGACTTTAAAATTAAAACGATAGGGTCTGACACTGTGGCTCAGCTGGTTAATCCTCCACTTGCAAGGGCCAGACTCCTTGGGTTTGTCCTGGCTGCTCCACTTCCCACCTAGCTCCCTGCTTGTGGCCGGGAAAGAAGTGGAGGATGGTCCAAGTCCTTGGCCTCCCTGCACCTCTCTGTTGGAGGCCGGGAAGAAGCTCCTGGCTTCTGGCTTCAGATTGGCTCAGCTCTAGCTGTTGGGGCCATTTGGAGAGTGAATTAACAGATGGAAGATCTTTATCTGACTCTTCTTTCTGTGTATCTGCCTTTTAAATAAAAATAAATTTAAAAAAATAGATAAATGCTGATAAAGCTAAGAGAGTTATTTTCTGGCAGCCTTACTGGGATCCAGCAGACAGGCGGTAATTGCACATATTTGCAGTCTCTAGCAGCTTTTCACCTGTGCCTCAGGAGACCACCAAAGCGATCAAACGCAGTACGGGGCGCTGGATCACAAAGCTGGCCGCCCAGGAGTGGCTGAACCACAGCCCTGGGTCCTCGAGACCTTGTGCAACCCCTTCCTCCTTCCTGCCTTGCTCAGTAACCACTGCTCTGCTGACACTTTCTACTCCTCTTAGCATTTTTCAGGTTTTACATAAATTGATTTATATGCTATATAAATAGAATTATTTAGTAATATATATTAATATTATTGGCTTCTTTTACCACGTCTGATTTTGAAATTAATCTGTCTTGTGGTACAATGTGTCAGTAGCTCAGTGCTGTTCGTTGCTGAATAGTACTTACCTATGGTTAAACACTACCATAATTGGTTCATCCATTCACCTGAAGGATATAGCAGTCACAAATAAAGCCATCCTGAATGGTACTTGTTGTATAGACAACACATTTCTTTTTTCTAGGATCAATGTCTGGTAGTGGGATTTCTGGATCCTATAATCACATAGCAGTTGTATGTTTAACTTTTTAAAAAACTTGTGAACTTATTTTTATAGTCCCGCCAGCAGTGGTAAGAGTGCTGCTTCCTCCACTTAGGCACCCTTCTGCGTGGTCAGACCGCTTCATATTGGCAGCTAGGATGAGTGTGGACTTCAATTAGTAGTTCCCTGGTGTATAGTAACATTGAATATGTGTTCATGGGCCTACATGCCATTGTATAACTTAATGACTATTTTTGTTCAAATCTTTTATTTAGTTTTTAATGAAGTTAGCTTATATAATTCAAATATGAAGTTTATTTTTTAAAGTTATTTTCTATTGGAAAGGCAGATGTATAGAGCAGGAGTGACAGAAAAATCCTCTATCCACTGGCTAACTCCCTAAATGGGCTGCAGTGGCCGAAACTGAACCCATCTAAAGCCAGGAGCCAGGAGCTTCTTCCCAGTCTCCCAAGTGAGTGCAGGATCCCAAGGCTTTGGGCCACCCTCAACTGATTTCCCAGGCCATAAGCAGGGAGCTGAATGGGTGGTGGAGCAGCTGGGGCACTAACTGGAGCC